GAAATAGCAAACTCAGCGGAAAAAAAAACTTAATGTTATCGCCTTCGTTTATGTGGTACCTTGCCAATCTCAGCGAGTGTCATGAGCATAATCGCAGATGCCTGTGGTATTTTTCTTGTAACACAACGATTAGTTTTGTTAATTCAATTACTTGAATCACTTGGAAAGTGAGGGATTCTCATTTTCGAAAGTTGTGGGTACAATTTCAACGTTGAAATAGTGATTTGTGCAACTACTTATAATGGGCTCACCCTTAGAATAATAAGAACATGAAAAGAGAGAAAAACGTGTGTAACCTTATGAACTTCCAAGAAAGCTGCACTGACATGAGTGCGCTTAATCTCTGCAAAGCTTTCCGTGATCTCCAACCTAAGATCATCCTCACTAAAATTAAGCCACTAGCTATTAATATTCTACACATTCTAATGATAGTCTTGTCAAAATTTCGGATTGATTTTCAAATGCCGATTTTAGTGTGCAGAGCGAGAGAATCAAAGTTGAGATGCAATCTTGAAACAAATACTTAACCTAATTTGTATCAACGTTAAGGCTACAATCCACGACAGATATGCTAATCCCAGGAGGTGAAGCACTGCGTAGTCCTTCGTCCAGTCCGCATGTATCAATGAGGTGCGGTACCACATAATTACAGGTTGTACAGGGGCTACTTATCCTTTAGAAACCGCGCCAATTTGGGGACGAACATGCGTGACAATTGGGATTCAAATGATGTGAAGAGTCGCAATTCACGTCGTGATCATCGAATGTCTGTACCAAATCTATCACCAGAGCCTTCAAGTGCAGTAGTTCAATCAGCTAAAGCGCTTAGGGAAAAACTAGGAAGAAATGGGGATGGAGAGTTGTCGGTAAGAAATAGAAAGTTTAGAAAATGCTTAAAAAACGAGAAAAAATCCTTTTTCCAGACTATTAACGAGGGTTTGATAACCCCTGTTATCCGTCGAAAGCAGTTCAATCAACCCACAGCGTTGACTTGTAATGTGAACCGAGGAATAACATCGAATCAGGGCTCTGGGCATCCTATAAATGCCATAGGAAATC